TCGTCCGCGGACCCAGCGGCTGGCGCCGCGTCTGCGGGTGACCCCGCTTCTTTGCTGGATTCTGCGGGTGACCCCGCCTCTTTAATGGATCCAGCGGGTGACCCCGCCTCTTTATGGAATCGGCGGTTCCATTCCTTGAGGCGATGGTCATTGGGAAGCTGTACCCAATTTTCCCTGACGATGTTGGCCACCTCTTCGGTCATAGGGACGCGATCGGCTTCGGTGATGCGCTTTCCTCCTCCAGGGACCTCCTTATTAGGATCGTGGACGTTGCCAGCGTCATCTCCATGAGACCAATTCCACGGGGTCTCACCGTGATGAGGGCTCCTGGAGGGGCGGTCCATCGGACACCTGCGCATGTGACCTTTGAAGGGCTCGCACTGACATACTTGTTTCCTGTATGTCTTGCGATCGTTGATGATCTCCTGTTTCTTAGCCCTTTTGTCCCAAGCCTCTGGCGTCTTGGTCTTGCCACCCTTGGTACGTATTATCGCGCCAGTTTCGTCCCTTTTAGTGCAGTACTCCTTAGAATACCAGTGGCGAAGCGTGTCCATCGAGTAGCCGGGGTACCATTTGATGTACCAATCCGGCACATGCTGAGCGGATACTCCGACGGAGTGCTCAGTACTGTATGGATAGCCCGATTCATCATGTGTAGGGCGTCTGGGAGCTGAACGGCTCCTTCTGCGGGCTGGCCCCGCTGACGCACTACCGCGTGCCATTGGCCTTTGATCGTCATGCTCTGAGTCTCGGGGAGGCGACGGTCGTCTGTCCCTCTTGGCGTAGCGCATGTCCTCCGAGTCCTCTGAGCTGTCCTGGACCATGAACACGTTTTGATACGGGCTTCTGAAGTACCCGATGTCGTTTAACTGCTCCATCGTGAGGTCGTTAATGTCCATTTGATCACAACCTTGCATGAATACATCCATAGACCAAGCGGGTGGCCCCGCTGTTGCGTCTGGCGTCTCTTCGGCGGGTGACCCCGCTAGAGCTTGGAGTGCTGTCAGCATCTGAGATGCTGACATGTCCGAATCCAAGTATGGACGTAGACGTGCAGCTCCTGGGTGTGACAGCAGTTCGTTCATGGTTATCTGCTGATGTGCTGGCGCACTCAGGAGTCGGATTGCTTCTGAGACCTGCTCTTGGAGCATGTCCTTATAATCTTCTTCGGCTTCTTCGGAGTCGGAATACGCGGGATGGCCCCGCATTTCGTCATCGGCGTCTCCCGCCTCCGATCCAGCCCGCGAAGGATTTGGCAGCAACGGCATGCCAATCACTTGCGGGGCCAGCACGGCGGTGAGTTCTTCCTCTGTCGCCGGGACGGTCTCGGCTTCGGAGACCTCGTCGCCGGCGGGTGGCCCCGCTGGAAGACCGAACCAAGCATTGTACGCGACCTCGTCGACCTCGTCCCAGCCGTGGAACTCGTCGAAGAGGGTCACTGCGTAGTCTTCCAGGGCTACAGTTGCTTCAGCGTAGCGGGCCATCACGTAATACGTGGAGGAGCCCGCGGCGGGAGCCGCTTCTGGATTGACGTAAAACTCGTAGTCAATGTAATCTATGTCATCCATAAAAGAATTTTGAGCCAAATGTACGGATCCCTTTCCTTTCCCCTTCGGGCATTGATCGCGCAAATGCTCTGTGCTACCGCATGTATGACACTTCATAGTATTACCAGAAGCGTCCCTAGGGTTGCCCCTCCGCCCTTTTCCCTTACCGGAGGTCCGCCTGTGACCCCGACCTTTGCCTCCGATAAGAACTTCTTCAAAAGCCATATCAGTTAAGGACGTGAGGAAAGCAGTAATACCCCTACCATGCATACGGCGTCTGCGACCCCCTTTGCCACGACCCTTTCCAAATCGTTTGAAATGTCGGCGTACTGCACGTCTCACCTTTCTGACTGGTTTCTTCATAAAGCGCCTCCAACGGCGTTTTGATTTGCGATAAGCCATAAAGGCGGCTTCCGCTCTTTGTTGTTCAGAGAGGTGAGTGTCATCCGCTGGGTAGTCATTACCAGCAGAGACTATGCCATTGTGCTCATCGTCAGATGAGGTATCCGTGTCAGTGCCAGATTCAAACGGTGAGGGTGGCTGAGACCCTTGAGCGGATGACTCCGCTTGGCCCCAGAGGGTTGTGCCCGAGGGCGGGCTTGCAGCGTAGGCGGCGCCTGGCGAGTAGTTCGACCAAGCGTTCGCCTCAGCTGCCTCTGCCGATGCCTGGCCAGTCTGCCCTAAAAGGGCAGTGGCCTCGTTGGGCATATCGGCTGGGTCAGCCCAGGGATTTGGCTCGCCAGGACCAGCGGGTGACCCCGCAGTCGTGGCGTAGACACCTGCATGTGAGTGGTGCCCTGTGAAGATACCCGCTATGTTGCCAGGAGAGCGCTCGGCAACATGTCCGTAGTTCCTCATCCTGGTCAGCAGCCTGTCATAGTCTGCTTGTGTTCGGGGCATCTGATGATTGAAGGGCTCAAGCAGGTGTTGGGCTCGTGACGCGCCAACGCCTAACGCTCTGAAGAGAATCAGCGTTAGGATCTGAAAGTTGGGGATGACAAAGCCAACAGAGTTAGCCTCGTCACGGGCCATCTCGAATCGAGCTAATACTGAGTCGATTCGCTCGCCCCTTTCGACGCGGAAGTCGATAAGGGCAGTGCCAGAGTTGAGCTGGCGCTCATCTTCCAGATTTTCAAATTTGGTGCTCAGTAAGTACAGTATATATGTTACTGCATCCGTTGGCTGTCCATTGACAGTTACACCATAATTGATGATCTGGGAGGGGACCTGCATGGCGATACGACGAGCCAGACCTTGAAGGCCTCGTTGTAGTGCTGCAGCTTGTTGTGGTGGTGTCATATTGCCACTCGTTACGTTTAACCATGCATGTACTTCGCGAACGTATTCGCGAAAAGGCGTAGTACCGGCAGGGTCCCATGAAGGGCCAGTAGTACGCGTGTCGTCCATCCCCTGCCGCATGTATCCCACAGCACATCCCATTATTACCCACAGAATGCCGAATATAGTTATCTTGATCCAATGCATGTGCATTTCGGCTTCGGTGATTGGTTTAGGCTGTGGTTTGTCAGGCTCTGGCGTAGTAGCCGTGAGGCGCCTGACTGGCACGGGATGCAGGTGGCCCCGCTGCGGGTAGCCCCGCAGGGTGACCACGTTCTCGATCGAGTTGCCGATTGGCATCTGGTGGAAGTCGGGAGTGAAGTAGCGCAGTGAAGTAGGAGAGAGCGTCTCGAGTTCGCGGGTTGCCCCGCTAGCTCGATCGCGGACTGGCTCCGCTCCTCGCAGAGCCGGCGCAACATGGTATTCCACCGTAGTAGTAGTCCACCAAGTTGTGCCGTGGATTACAGGAATCAGAGCGAGAGCCAGCCACACGAGAGTGTAGCCAGCTCCGCTACCAAGTCGAAAACAAGCTGGTAAGCTTAGGTATGTGTTACGCTTTAAGCGTTGCCATATCCCAGGCTTTGGCTCATATCGCATGAGCAAGAGTGCAAGACGAAGCATGGGATCTGGAGTAAAGGATAGGATGGGCATCGTCAATGGAAAAGGTATTTTCCGATCTCTGATGCAAGTCGTGCGCCTCAGTGAGGCACAGTCATACATTTGGCCGGGCCCGGCTTGAGCCAGGCACGGCAGCGGTACATGCTCGATTTATACCTCGCCTTTAACCTTCTCCGTTTAAAGTCTATTACCTCCAGAACGTCTATGGTGGGGGTGCGTCGGGCCCCTTAGCGGGGTAACGTTATCGCGGGGCGGGCGCTGGCATGGTAGTCGCAGTAGTGATAGTACTGCACGGGGTGGAGTGGACAGGACCAAGTCGGGGGCGAGCAAACATGGATTAGCGATCCATGGATTTGGCGCGCGGTCACCAAATCCGTGGATCGGGGGAGATGCCCTCCCCCAAAATGCGGCCGGTGCCGCCTCGCTCGGCGGCGGAAATCCGCGATTTCCCACGGAGACAGGATCCGTCACTAATCGACGCCCCTTGGATCCATGGTTGCGATCGCCTGAACATCGCGGACGTCTTGTTTCGTGCTTCCTTTGTATTTAAGCGTGCACTTGGCATCCCCCGAGCCCTCCGCGGAGGCCGAACGTGGCGAGCAGTCAGATTTCTGATGCTTCCCAGGCGCCCCCAGACCTCCAACGTCGCGCTTGGTGTCACACCCTGGGCACCAGAGGCTCCGACTCCTCTCCCAAGACCAGTGTTAGGTCGGGCATGTCCCCCTGCAGGCGGATTTTGGACGAACAATAGAACAGAGTTAAAAAATGCCCCAAAATGGTCAACACAAAAACATTCAACGGATCGTCCCCCGACTATTTATTTACTATCTGGGAATATTCCTCCTGTAGAGGGACACGCCCGACTTAGACCAGCGTCTCAACCCAAGCAGTTCTTCGACGGCCCCGTGGCCCAGTGAAAGTCCCTAGAGGCCGACACCTGCCCCAGACCATGTCGCCGTGCTGTTTTCACGATGCGAGGGTGCTGAGGGTCCCCCGCGCTCATCCTGGGGGTGCACTCTGGTCAGGAGCGCGTGGGGAAATCCAGCCGCAGCGGGGAGAGGCGGTCCCCGAATCAGGGCCCAGTAGACCCGGACACGCTAGACCCGGGCACCCAATATCCCTCGAAACCAATATTTCCAAACGACGGCACGAACAAAATGCTGCACTGCAGCATTTCCAGAATAAACCCAGACACAGGCCCCAAAAGCCTGCAAGACCCCCCTTAACCCGGACACGCACCCGAATCCTGCAGTGCAGCAAACAAAATATGCACGGGTGCTGAAAAACGTGACTTTGCAGGAAAGGATGTCGTTTCCTTGGTTTTCCGTGTCCTGGTTTATCTGTGTCCTGGTCTCTGGGGGCCTGACCGAAGCTGAGCAGAGACGCGCCGGCACCTTGCGCCTCGCATGCCGACCTCGGGCCCTCGAGGTCCCACAAGCCGGGGGCAAGCAGGCGCGCAGGGCGCCGCAGGCAGACCCGGGATGGGGCCGCCGGGGCCTTCAGCCGCACGTCGTTGGCCCAGCTGTCCATGTCCTGCGCCGGGGCGGGGGGTGTCCCCGTGCCCACGGGGGTGCAGGCGACCCGTAGAGAGTAAGGCTGCGCGATGTGGAAGCAGGGGCCTCGGACGCCCACGTCGAGGCTCTTCGAGCGGGGCGCGGCCAGCGAAGGTGGTCAGGGATGGACCCGGGAGGCAAGGGTGCAAGGGTACCCCTCCTCCTCCTCCTCCTCCTCCTCCTCCTCCTCCTCCTCCTCCTCCTCTTCTTCTTCTTATTATTATTATTCTTATTATCATGATTATTCTTCTTATTATTCTTATTATTAGTATTATTCTTCTTATTAGTATTATCATGATTCTTCTGCTTCTTCTTCTTATGATTATTATTATTATTCTTTTTCTTCTTCTTATTATTATTCTTCCTCTTCCTCCTCCTCCTCCTCCTCCTCTTCCTCCTCCTCCTCCTCCTCCTTTCCTCCTCCCTTTCCTCCCTTTCCTCCTCCTCCTCTCCTCCTCCTCCTCCTCCTCCTCCTCCTCCTCCACTCCTCCTCCTCCTCCTCCTCCTCCTCCTCCTCCTCCTCCTCCCTTTCCTCCTCCTCCTCCTCCTTACTATGCGGGCTGACTGTAGTCGTCGCATTCGACGTCGACGCCGCCATCGTCATGTCAGAGCTTTTCGAACGTGTCGTCGGCCTTGGCGGCACTCGGCTGCCATCATCCGCCCTGTGCGGCGCGGCGGGCGGCATCATCGTTGACGACTCTCTGCGATGTTCAAAGCTGCTCGAAGGTCTGCAACGCTTTTCGAATGTGTTCGAAGGTTCGCAGGGTGTAATTATTGGGAGTTTCTTGTCGGTTTCGAGGCTCACCGAGATCGTCATCGTTTTCGCCGCCACCGATCGATCGAGGTTCGAACAGGTTATCCGCTTGCTTCGGAGTCTCGGGCCCCAGGGCCATCAGATATCATTCCAGTTTCTACGATGAGAAACGACCCAGGACAGACACTGGAAGGGGTCAAGCGACCGACCTTGAGCAGAAAACGGCCGTCGCCGTCCACGTCGTCGAAGTCGTTGAGGTTTGAGGATCGAGGTCTCTGACCGTTGTTCGGCCTCTTTTCATCTCCAGGAAGCTTCTCGTCGCCACGACTGGATTTCTCTTTCAAATTATTTCCAGAACGCACTCAGAATTCTGGTCAGAACGCTGGTCCCAGCAGCAGACGTCGTCGTCGTAAGGGAGGCCTTCTTAGGAGGCACGAGGCCTTCAGAGGGGGAAGCGATTGCACAAGTGCAACTTCCCGACGCGGGGATGCCGATGTGTGCACCTCATGTCCTTGCACTTCCAGCTGCGCGTGTCTGGGTGAGCGAGTCTTAGCCTGTGGTTCCCCCTTGGAGTGCCCAAGCGGCATGCCTGCTACGTCGGGATGATCTTGGGACTCTGCAGCGAGAGGGGTCGGGGGTGCCCAAACCAGCGTTCCGCTCGATCTGGCCGCGAATGGGCAAGCGTAACACCCCTTGGCGGCGCCCCCTTCTCTGGGTGCCCCACTGCTAGCACTGCTGCACCGCGGTGATCATAGGGGCTCTGGGAGGAGAGGGGCCGGCGACGCCGACCGAGCGCCTCGCTCGAGACGTCCCCACGAGCTGGCCACGACTTCTTGGAGTGCACGCGCGCCGTGCCTGCCACACCGCGGTGATCGTGGGGCTCTCGCACCCGGGGGGGCGATGATTCCAGACGAGCACCTCGCCCGAGACGGGCGCGCGCGGGCTCTCGTGCCAGACGCGCCTGGCGGCTCCTCCCCGGGGCCCCCAGAGTGCAACGCCAGCTACGGAGAGGTGGCCACAAGGGCTCTTTACAGTAATCCGAGGGGCCGGCGACACGACGCGAGCGCCTCGCTCGAGGCATCCCCACGATCTGGGCGCGAGAGCGGGCGAGCTCCCTAATTGCCCCTGGCGGCTCCGCCATGGGGTGCCCGGAGTGCCACGCCTGCTGCATCGCGGTGACCACGGGGCTCCTGTCTGGCAGAGGGCTCGGCAGCGCCAAGCGAGCGCCTCGCTCGAGACAGCCCCACTATCTGGGCGCGAGCGGGCAAGTCCCCTTGTCCCCTGGCGGCTCCTCCTCCGGGAGCCCGAAGTGCCACGCCTGCTGCGTCGCGGTGATGACGGGACTCTCGCAGCCGAAGGGTCGGCGACGCCAAACGAGCGCCTCGCCTCGCTCGAGACGCGAACAGGGCAGTGTCCTATCCCCTGGCGGCTCTTCTTGGAGTGCAGCAGTGCCACGAAGGCTACAACGCGGTGACTGGTTGCGAGTCTGGGTATGAGGAGCGAGTATGGTGGGTCTGAGTCTGAACGACAGAGTGCGGGCAAAGTATGACTAAGCCGAGTGTGAGTTGACACGAATGTGTAGTGTCTGCGCGTGTGGGTCCGAGTGTGAACGAGTCTGAGTGCGAGTGGATCTGCGCATGAGTCGGCCTGACCACGAGTGGGCCTGCTTGTGAGTGAGCCCGAGAGTCAAGTTAGCCAGGTCGAGCGGGTCAGCGGGCCCCGCCGAGTCCAACCCTCCCTCCCACAACAGAACAACCGATCGAACGCGCTCCCGCCTCGCAAAACGGAAGGCGCTCGCGGGCTGCCCCGCATCCGACGACTTGGCACAGGCGGAAGGGGCTGCGCAGGGGCGGGAGCGGCAATATTTCGATGGGCGCAGCAAAGACGAAGCATCGCGGCAATATTTCGATGGGCGGGAGCGGCAATATTTCGATGGGCGCAGGGGCGGGAGCGGCAATATTTCGATGGGCGCAGCAGAGACGACGCACGCACCGCGCGGGTCCGCTCGCGCATCGACGGTCCTGCGCGCGAGCAGTGCGCGCGCCACGCCTTGAAAGATAGCCCAGTGCTCGACGCGAGGTCGACGTGTCGGCCGCTCGCGCGGGATGTTTGCCCCGGTCGTCCTACCACGCATTTTTCAACATGGGCGACATGATGTCCACAGTGAGACAAGAATCGTTGGCATTGGATTGTTTTCCGCACGTAAGATGGAAGGTCCCAGCTCGTGGAGGGTAGGGGGGGAAGGCAATCGGCCACCTGTGGGGCAAAGTCGAAGCACATACCCGTACGGAACGAGGATGCGCGATCGGGAATACGAGTGACTGCGTGTGGGGAAGTCTGAGCGTGAGTGATTCCGAACATTGCGTGAGTCAGAGCGTGACTGACCTCTTCCCCCCCCCCCTCGCGCCGCGCGCATCGCCCCGCCAAGGCCATCTTGGCGCAAGATGGCCTTGGCGGGGCGAGGACAAAACTTGGCAGTCAGTGGCTGGTCGTCAGTCGTCGTCGTCGTCGTCGTCGTCGTCGTCGTCGTCGTCGTCGTCGCCATCCGTCGTCGTCGTCGTCGTCGTCGTCGTCGTCGGTCGTTGTCATCGTCGCTAGTCGCCCTCTTGGAGCCTTCTACAGCCACATATGGACCCGCCACGGGCTTCCAGAGTCTGTGGCAGCCCGCGCAACCCAGTCGACTCTTCACTGGCGCCCCCCCCTCGCGCCGCGCGCAACGCCCCGCCTGCGCGCCGCCAACCCCGACCATGCGACGTTCCGCATTGCTACAGGCCTCCTAGATGGGGTCCGAGCAGAGATGGGGTCGGAGAATCGCGCCGCATCGCCGATACATCGGCGATGCATCGTGAAACAGATCGGGCCCTACATCGAGCCGCATCGGCGATGCATCGGCGATGCATCGGCGATGCGGCGCGATCCTCCGACCCCATCTACTCGGACCCCATCTAGGAGTCCTAGAGCCTTGCTGTTCAGCACGGGACCCCCGAAGTCCCGGCCCCTTTCCATACAACGAAGCGAGGACGAGAGCAACATCGGGGGAGAATACGTCGAGAATCTCTGAGAGCTGGAGCCGCGGAGGAGAGCTGGAGTCGGTGGGCATCCGCAGGGCCCCCAGAACGAACACCCAACGCGGGGCGCCCGAGGGGAGGTGCAGCGGGGGACCTCGCAGAACAGACGGAACTGACGAAGACGACGACGAGAACGACGCCGAACACGGCCACGGCGGCGGTGACGACGGTGTCTGCTCCTGGGACCAGCGCTCTGACCAAAACTGCGAGTGCGTTCTGACTAGAACTCGGAAGAGAAATCCAGTCGTGGCGACGAGAAGCTTCCCGGAGGCGATAAAGAGGCCGAACAATGGTCAGAGACCTCGATCCTCAAACCTCAGCGACGACGACGACGACGACGGCGACAGAGACGACGGCCACGACGGCGACGGCGACGACGGCAACGACGACGACGTCGACGACGGCAACGACGACGACGGCGACGACGGCGACGACGGCGATGACGACGACGACGACGACGACGACGACGGCGATAACGACGACGACGACGACGACGACGGCGATGACATCGACGACGGCGACGACGGCGACGACGACGACGGCGGCGACGACGACGGCGACGGCGGAAGCGGCCCCCGAAACCCCCACAAGAAAGGGCCGCCTGCAAGCCCCGTGCCTGGCCGTGCGCGGCCACAGCCGGCCGCAGGGCGCGCGGCGGCCGGCCTCCACGTAGGCCTGGTGGTCCGTGAACAGGCCGTCCAGCTCCTCTCGGGGCTCTCTCCTCCCTCCCCTTCCCCGATCCTCCTCCCTCTCCTCCTCCTGGTCCTCCTCCTCCTCCTCCTCGTCCTCGTCCTCCTCCTCGTCCTCCTCCTCCTCCTTCCCGGAGATCCTTCTCCCCCCCCCCGCTCTCCCCGGTCCTCCTCCTGCTGCTCCTCCTCCTCCTGCCCCAAACTCCGCCTAGCCCCCACTCACTTCCCTGTCCGTCAGCCTCCTCCTCTTTCCTGTCCTCCTCCTCCCCCTTCCTCCTCCTCCTCCTCCTCCTTCCCCCTCCTCCTCCTCCCTCCTCCTCCTCCTCCTCCTCCTCCTATCCTCCTCCTTATCCTCCTCCTCCTCCTCCCTCCTCCTCCTCCTCCTCCTCCTCCTTATCCTCCTCCTCCTCCTCCTCCTCCTCCTCCTCCTCCTCCTCCTCTTTCCTCATCCTCCGCCTCCCCATCTTGTTCCAAGAAATATGCCGCATGTCGTTGGTGCGATCCACCCGCAGGGCGGGGGATCCGCGCGCCCGCGCCTTCGCGGAATTGTCTGGACCTCCGGCGTCTGTGAGGGGATCATGGGCGGATTTGGTTCCCCTCTTCTCGCGGCTACCGGCGGGCGGCCGCTTTCGGGCTCCGAAGCCCCAAAACCGTCGAAAAAGGATCGGGGACGAACAAAAAACAAACAACTGCCCCCAATAAATTGGTGGAGGGGTCCTGGGACCTCGTGTTGGAACAGCCGTCGAAGCATCAGAGGCTTGTGTTTTTCTGCGCAAGATATTCACGGTACCCTGCTAGCAAGATGCCAGAGGGGGGCACCTTCCTCCTTCCTCTTCTTTGGGTGCCCCACGGAAAAAGGAAACTATGACTCGGGGGCGGCCAAGAGGGGGGCGTCCAAGAAAAGGGGGCGCAAATTATGGCCGGCAACATGTGCGCGGCCCAGAGGGGGTCCAGGGACGTAAGGAAATAAGAGAAGGCGCCGCGAAATTTGGGGAAACATCACGACCCACGCCATGATATCCCCCCCCCCCTTAGTCATCACCCCCCTCCTGGCCATTCCCGAGTGACGGGGACGACATCGGACCGGGACAGGAAGAAGCCCAGGGAAGGCGCCGCAACATCTGCGGAAACATCACGACCCACGCCATGATATCCACCCCCCCCCCCTAGTCATCACCCCCCTCCTGGCCGTTCCCGAGTGACGGGGGCAACATCGGACCGGGACAGGGAGAAGCCCAGGGAAGGCGCCGCGACATCTGGGGAAACATCACGACCCACGCCATGGTATCCACCCCCCCCTAGTCATCACCCCCCTCCTGGCCGTTCCCGCAGGGAAGGACCTGGAGAACCACCTCACGCCCACCCTCGTGCCGGCGCTTGGGCAACAAAAGAAGCCAGGACACGAAGGGGGGCAGGCGAGAGCAAGACGCGCGCACACGCGCGCGCGCGTCGGAACAGCTTCTCGGCAGGGGCGGTTCCCGGGGAGGCCTGGTCGGGCGATCGGAGAGAAGGGCCAGGATCAGATGGGGGGTCATAGAAGAACAACCACACAAGCATAAACTTTTGGCGCTCCGCGCGGTGCGCCAACAGCTTATGTTCATGTGGTCGTTTCTTCTTCGAAGTCGGGCGATCGGAGAGAAGGGGCAGGATCAGATGGGGGGTCAGAGGTATCGGCTTCTAGACGGGTTCGATCCCCAACACCCTCCCTTCGAACGTCCGACCCTGGCGAGGAACAAGCACCAGGAGAATAGCGAACCCATGCGGGGACCAGTGTGTTGGATGCTCGTTCGGGGGATCGTCTTCAAGGCACTCGCTCACCTCGTGCGTCAATACTGAGCCGAACGTCCCGAACGAGTCTGCTGGGAAAGAAAGTGCAACGGAAAGAAGAACTGTAGTGGGGAATCGGGGGTGGCAACTTTCCCAGAAATGTGAATGCAGATTCCAGGTTCCTCGCACAGCGACTTCAAAACAAATAGAGCTCTCATGAGTTGTGGATGAACCGCAGGAAGAAAACCAACGTCTGAACGCCTTCGCGTGACTCTCCAAGTGGTGCGTGGGGCTCACACATCGCTGTCAACAATGCGGTTCGCTAGCAGGGTTGCAGGCAGTCGGTTGCTGCTCACCTGTATTAATTTGCGAAGACTCTAACACATTCAGGCTTGCCTAGTCTTGCCTAGGTTTGCCTAGCCCAGACTTGCCCAGGTCTGCTTTGCAAGATTGCTGGCAGCTAGTTGCCCCCCCCACGTGCCGCACGCCTAGACTTCTCATAGCTAGATTGCTTGACCTGCCGCGACCAACTCTGACTTACCCAACTTTGCTTGGCAAGATTGCCAGCTGTCAGTCGCAGCCCGCTTACGTAGATTGGCCTGCCTCGCAGAGACGGGCATGCCCAGCGCCGATGTGCCTGAAGTTGCTTGGCAGGATTGACGACAACTGCTTGCCACCCACTGGCCTCACGAAATTGCTGGCATTTAGAAACATGCGCTCGAAGGCTCAAACGCGACTAGCCTCACGATGCATACATGAACATGTACATACATACGTACATCTACACATACATGCATGAATGCACCTATGAAAATATGCATACATGCATAAATATCTGCACACATGCATACGGACACACATACATACATACATACATACATACATACATACATACATGCATGCATGCATGCATATATATATATATATATACATACATACATACATCCCGACCGACCTGCATACCTACATAAAGACGTACATACATACATACGTACACGTAGTGATCCCTGGAAACGACAGGGCCGTTTGTTTACATCTTCCATTTTGCCGTTCTTTTGTCGGTTCCGACGCCGTTGGTTTGCCAATTCCGACGCCGTTGTTTGCCGGTTCTGGCTCCAACTCCAATCCTGGAACCGTTTTTGTTCCGTTTCTGGTCGCCGTGCTTATCCTTTACAATTTCAACAGGTGCTTTTTGAGAAGCGTTGAAAAACGGTCCTGCCGTTACTGGGACCACCAAGTACATACAGACATACAGACACACGCACAGATGCACATACACATACACACATGCATGCACGCACGCATGCATGCATGCAGACGTACATACACACTACACACGCATCAAGCCATACGTACATACATATATACATACATACATACATACATACATACATACATACATACGTACATACGTACATACGTACATACAGCATTGCACACATGGATACATACATACATGCATGTACGTACGTACGTGCGTATATGCATACATATGTGCATACATACAAATACACATTCATATCGCATGCACACGTATGTGCACATACATAAGTACATACATACATACATACATACATACATACATACATACACACATACATGTATATATACACAGGCATACAGACTTGTATGCATACATATGCAGGTGCATACACAAATATACTTGTGCATGCACACACACTTGTGTGCACACACGTATACATACACTCGTGTGTGCGTATACACATACACGCATAAGTACAAACAGTCATAGTACATACCAACAAGCATACACACATACACAACATATCTGCATACATACAAGCAGCCCTGGCCAACTCTGGAGTTGCGGGACTCAAATACCTAGGATCACATGTTGTGTTCAATGTGCTTCCTCCCACCGAACGGCATGTGTGAGACGCCTGGGTGTGATGATGTTGAACCTCCTAGGCGTATGCAACACCATGCTGACACCCTTGCCAACTTTCCCTTCAAACAGTCGTCCCAGTCAAGAGGAGGGGGGTGTTTAGCTCATTTGCTCCCAGCCAAGAACATCAAGAGGCGATGGTAGCGCAATTTGCGCAAGCATGGCTTCCGCCCCCGATTGCAGAGGAAGAACAAGCTGCATCAGCATCGGCGTTCGACGGTCTGCGCGCATTTCTTGGATCTGCGCCAGATACCCCTCTCTGGCGCGCGGAGCGCGCCAGGGGCGGCGCCAGAGGCACCGCCAGAGGGGACCAGCGCAGATCCAAGAATTCTGCGCGGACCACCGAAAGCTTATGCGTATGCAAGTGTTGCCTTTCTCGAGATTGTCGGCTGGCGAGGCGTACCAGAACACCTCGGGTGCACCATCGGAGCTCTCGCGCTCCCGCCTCGCCCTGGCAGCATATTCTTCCAAGCGTTGCCGGGCGGCCTCCATGCAGATCCCGTGGCGGTGCTCGGCCCCCTGGCAGAGCAGCAGGAAGCCGTGCCTGGAAGACGAAGCAATGGCATCGAGGAGGGGCAGCGGGCCGGTGAAGCTGGGCGCCGCCGTGCCATGCAGGAAGACGCACCCGATCGAGACCACGAAGTCCCAGGACGCCGCGGCTCCCCCATCGCTCTCAGCAACGTCATCCTCGGCTGCGCCCTTTCCCAGGAACAGGGGGCCGAAGTCGCCGCACACGAAACCATAGCCGTCGACCCCGCGGAACCGCTGCATGGCAACGTCGATGCTTGCTCTGCAGGAGTCGAGGCCGAGATAGCGGAGGTCTGGCCTGCGATGCCGGAGGACAGCTGCGAACTCTCCGCCGCCGCAGCCGACCTCTAAGACTTTCGTTGCGCCAGGCGGCACCAGCTGCGCAACCTCGTCCCAGGCATTCTGGAACACCGTGTGGGAATAGGCCCTCCAACCGTACCGCCGCGGGTCGCCGAGAGCATACCTGCTGGCGAGCAGCTCGTACGGAGTCTCGTCCCGGAACCTGGCGGAGCGAGCGGGTGCCGCGCGCGTCTGCTCCAGGTCGCCACGGTGGACGCTGGTCAAAGCTGCACCTTCTCCAAACTCAGGGCTGGACTCCGCTGCCGCCTCGGCCATCGCCCAGAGTGCACTGACGCAGGAAGAGTGGGCCTGGCAAAGAGGTGCGCCCATTGAACCGAGATGGACGCCGATGTTCTACACAAAGAGAGCTTGCGGAGTAACCCCCCATAGAGGATCTACCAGCACCAGCAAAATCTAAGAAGGCCCTCCTCGGAACTGCACGAATGAACTACACAAACAAACGAGCGAAACCTGCAAGGGTATGACAATGTTTATTCGCATCTTCTGCCGTCATGCGTCCAAGCCAAGGAAACAACATACAGTGGCATCAACTTTCCTCACCGAATGCACTCCGCACCTCCACATTGCGGCAATTGCTAAGGCCTGGTCGTGACACGGACACCAACCATTTAACAAACGCATAGCTTACCATTGGCCTCGATCTGAACAAATTACTATTTTCACACTGATTGTAGTCACACTCCCTTGGGGCCATCTTGGAAGCCTCGTGTCCGGTATTGAAGCTCCCTGGGGCCGTCTTGGGGCTCTCTTGGGCCACATTCGCTTTTGTACCTGGCCAACGCAAAACCATCCAAGCATTCGACGCTGGCAAGCGGCAACAGAAGGAAAACGGTCGGCCATCACACAGGTGGCTCACCTGTGATCAGAAGCCCCACTCATTGGAATCACTGGTGCGACTGTACAAGCAAGCATGGCCTCGCAACTCAGGAGCTCCCGCCTGACTCAGCTGCCGCTGCCCCATCAGCTGCAGCCCCAGAGGAGCCTCCCGCCGCCCCGTCAGCTGCAACAGCTTTGCTGTCAACACCACTCATTGCAAACAAAAAGGCTGCTCGCACTTGCGCATCATGGTGCACGTCCGCATTGCACTCGACTGATCCGCAAAGCCTTGTCTTGCGGACTCATGCAGGTTCAAAGCCGACGCATTCTCCTTCTTGAAAAACTCGACACTGTTTTGCGTCAGCACTCGGATATCCCTGCTCTTGGCGTTTGAGATGTATGCCGACTTGTCACGCGCCATTATTTCTGGGCTTGGCTGATTGCCACAACGTGCCCTCTGCCCCTCATCTTGCGCCCACATGGCCTTCTACGCTGCATCCGCCTCCGCTTTTAGCCCCCCCTTCATCTGCTTAATCGCGGCTTCGAATGCAAAGCACAGCGTCTCCGCTGCAAGCATCTCCTCGGCATCCAGCACACTTGTGGATGCGACAATGGTCCAACACTCAGAGTGCATCGCGAGATCCAGCAACCCCTCGCTGCGCAACGTCTGTAGCACCTTGGGCGCCTCTGTGAGCAGGGGATCGTTGTAGCCGATGCAAGCCACGCTTCAAATGCGGTCAGCAGAGCCTCATCCTTGATGTTGCATGAGCGCGCAAATGTCGGCGTGCTCTTCATGATCGCCTCTGCGGAATCGTCTCCCGTTGGGGGTGGCAACCGCTAAACCACTGCACCGATCGTAGGCGCTGCCTTCGCTTTTCCCCTCTTGGGTTCCTTCTTACCCTTGCCCTTGCCAGTGTCGTCCCAGTGCCCTGCAGGCGGACAGCAGTACCGCATTCATCGTGATTGCAATCACAGCCATGCTCTACTTGCCATTCCCAAATGTCTTCTTGGCCTTCGAAACCAAAGGCGTTGCCTGCTCTGGCACTTTCTTAATGTCCACGTCGGCCAACTTGAAGCGGGCCGCATTCTACGCCTCGGCCTGCAACAACCTCCGGGTCTTCTGTTCTCGCTGCTTCCGCAAGAACTCCAGCAAGGCCTCTTCCTATTGAGCGCTTCGCTTCGGATGTTTGATTTTCGGGTGAAGCACGCACAACTAGGACAAGAACCAACGATGAACCCAAACCAAAATGGCTTGAACCAAAATGGCCACGGACCCTATTGGGCCATCTTGAAGCTCGTTTGAACCGTTTTGGGGTCCGCTCGGAAGCCTTCTGGGCCGTAAGATCCAAACAGCGAGTATGCTAAACATGTACTGGCGCGCTCTGAGGGCGTCCTGGGTCTTGGGGGCCTCCTGGCGCCTGCCTTTGCGCCATCTGGGGGCGTCATGGCGCGCCCTTGGGGCCTCTTGGGGAGTCTTGGAGGCCTGCTGGGCTGACTGGAGGCCATCTGGGCGCTCTCGGAACGCTCTCGGGCGGGTCTCGCAACATCGGAGGCCTCAAAGCTGGTTCCGCCTGGGACTTGCGGCCATACCGCACCCCAAGAGAAGCCACGAACAGGAATGCGAGGGGCGTGTTCATGCTGGTGTCCCACCCCCGGGGCGACTTTGGACCTCTCTGGATCGCTGACGGTCCACGGGGTCGTGGATCGGGCTCCTGGGCATGGGGTCGAGAGGAGAGCTCTGGGGGTCCACGCTGCAAACAAACATTGCGACGTCCCAGGCCTTGAGGGATCGACGGAGCTGGCGCCATCTCCCGCGGCATTGGCAGCACAACGCTGCACGCTCGACCATGGACCCCTCGCTCCCTGGCGGCCTTCGGCGATCCTGGATGGCCTCCGCCGACTCTGGCGGTCTGCCGTGCGAAGAAAATCGGACCGGGCGAAAGGGGGGGATAGCAAAGGGGGGGGGTGAGAATCAGCTCACGTAGCTGATTTTCCCGGCGCCTCCCGGCGCCCATGTATCGAGGAATGGGCCCCTCGGTGGGGCCGAAACCAGCTGCATGCAGCAGATTTCGTAACCCCCCCTTTCCCAATCCCCCCCTTTCGTCCGGCCCGAGAAAAGGATGAACTCATGGACGAACGGCTATAAGCAGCGGACAAGGAAACGAAGAGGCGGCAGGCTCTGGCATCTCGCCGCGTCCTTGCGTAGGCGGCTGCGCTGCGTCTCCAGGGTGCTGATGGCGTCTCCCTGGCTGTCCGTGGACCTGTGCCGGCGGAGGGAAACACCGCGTCGGGGCAGCTTCCCACGGATCGCGAGGACGGCTGCCCGTGATGTGACACAGGAAGGGTCGAAGGGCCAAATCTGACCTCCCCCCCCCTTGGGGGACCCCTTGCACCAACCAATAATGCGGGATGACGATAAATAAAAAAAACTGGGGGAGAACGATTAAAAACATAGTTTTCTGCTATTTCTGCATAATTTTCTGACTGGAGGAGAACGATTAAAAAAATAGTTTTCCAGCCCGCGGCCGGTTTTCTCTTATCGTCATCCTGGACGCCGCCGCGTGAACACGACCCCCGGTCATTTCTTAATCGTCATCCTCCATTACGAAAATTGCCGCCTCACTGAGGTGATGACGGGAAACGAGTGGCCTGTACGAGTTGGTAGCGGAAGGATGCCCTCTGGAAGATGGAGCAGGTCACGCGTCGCTCACCCCTCCAGACCAAAAGTGTACCAACGCCACGGCCGCACTGTGCATACTCGCCATCGCTTGGACGTCCATTCCCTGTGTTTTTTTCGGCTTCGTGCGTGGCTTTTTCGCCAAATGGTCAAGGATGCTCCTCGATGGTCCTCGCCGAAGGAAAAATGTACACGTCCGAGCGATGCCAAGCATACCCACCGCCCGGGAGACGGATCTTCAAGACACCAGAAAACAGTGGAAATGAGGAATCTCGCACACGGATTGCGCCATGGGTGTCGCTTATTCTTCAGCGAGCGGTTCCAGGGTTTCGTTGCTGACCCAGCCGAGGGTGGAGCCACTGGAGCTGGTGATTGTTCGGCGCGGCCAGAGGGGCATCCCGCCCATGGATTTGATCTTCCAGCTGCATTGCAGTGTAGTTGGTTGCGTGTTTGCATGGGGCAATTGCACCACGTAAGCTGCATTTGCTCACTGCGGGGCATCTTGTGAACTGGGCGGCTTCCCACTCGCGGTGCGGCTGGGACGAAAACTACGCCCGAGGAAGGGGTCGGGACTTCCCGATGCCCACGTATAGACAAAAACTACGAAGCCGGATGTGAGAGTTGCTGTGTGCTCTCCCTCTCCTGCAGCTCATGACGAATTCTTGGGACCTCCTGTGCCACCCTGCTGTCCGCGCCGTGATCGAGGTTGTTCGTGGCAACCCGCATTACCAGCCTTGGGCGCAGGTGGCTGAGAGCGTCTGTTGCCCCAACCTCCTCCCTACCGTTCGGGGAGGTGTTCCCCCCAACCCCCCCCTACTCATTCACCTGGGTTTGGACGGGGGCGCGAGGAGTCGGAGGGTCACATTTGGCCAAAATGGTTCCGAGAGATCCTCGGATACCCCAAGACAACGAAAGATGGCAGAGTATGATTTTCAACAGGCCTTCACGTAGCCAACCTACCTCCCCAGTGCGGTGGGTACGGAGCCACCCCATGATGCCCCCAATATCTGCCAATCCTACAACAATTCAGAAACGAAGATAACTTCTCGTTCGATGTCACACCTTTTCGCTTCCGATGTGTTTTCGAAGCCTCAAGGCGCCATCGCTGTCGTAAACAAACCACCCGCATATGAGCCCAGCTGACAAAGGATGGTGTCTGTGCTCTATTTTCCTTCGGGGCCTCTGCCAGATACGCGAACGAATGGGGGGGGGGGAGGACAACCATCATATATTCTGACCCGAGCACCCAATCTTCTGGCTCGGCAATGCTCGGAGACGACGAACACCGCTGCGATAAACGATGGCGATGGCGACCATGGCGACGAGGAGATGGAAGGCAAGTGCGACGGTGGCGACAACAATCGGGGCGACGGTGACGACGCTGGCGATGATGGGTGACGAAAGTGCTGGCGAAGAGACCGTTTTCACGTCGCGGGGCGTCTCTTGACGGCCCGACAACCAGCGCTGCGGAGCCGAACCCGCGGAAAGCTTTCCAGCATTATTGTTTTGCGACGGGCGAAAGCCTTCTTACTTTTTTTGTTATTATTCCTCAAAGTCGATTCCAAGACCTCTCCTGGGGTGCGCCCAAGTCAGGAATGCGAGGGGAACCCAGCTGTGGCCACGAGGGCCCACAAGGACGTGTAGAAAGGTACAAGCTGTCTCAGCCCCGCTCTTCCTCCTCCTCCTCGATGAAGTCAAGGGCGACGAGGACGAGGACGACTCGGACGCGAACGAGGTTTCCAACTACCGCCTGCCAGTGTGATGCCGAGATGTCGGGCCCTCCCCCCGGCCGCTGCAGCGTCGAGATGTACCCAGCCATCTTCTCCCTGAAGGCAATCGCGTCGTCTCGCAACGCCTTGGCCGACCGCCGTGGTCGTTCCGCTCCTCCTATCCCTTCCCCCCCTGCCTGCCCACCCCTCCCCTCCTCTTGACGGGGAACGCTCGGGGGGGGACTGGCACAGGGGAACTGGCTCGGTGACCCATCGGCGATCCATCGGCGGTATGTGCCCCCCGCCCCCCCCCCCCCTGAGCCTATCCCCCTCTGACGTTGCCCCTGACCGTCCTTCTGATATTTTCTTGTTGCGCGCGCGCCTCCAGCCTTACGTCGGGCCTGACCCTCTACAGGGGGAATATTCAAAAATACCCAAAACTAATCAGGGGACTGTTTTTTTTGATTGTTTTTGACTATTTTGGAATATGTTGGGGTATGTTTTTATTTTTCGTCAAAAATGCCCCTGCAGAGGGACAGGCCCGACTTGACTCCAGCCCGCTGCTTTGTCGCGCGCCGCGCCCTGGGCGCCACGCCGGGCGCCCAGGGACCCCCTGCGGTGCCCCACGCCCGAGGCGGAGCACGGGGACGGCCCGAGGGCGCGAGGGCAGGCGGAGGGAGGAGGCCCCGCCCCGTGCTGCACCGGAAACAAGCCCCGACCCTTTTTTTGGGGGGGGCCTCCGCCTCCTCATCCTGCTCCTCCTCCTCCTCCTCTTCTTCTTCTTCTTCATCGTCTTCTTCGTCTTCTTATTATTATTATTATTCTTCGTCTTCCTCTTCCTCCTCCTCCTCCTCTTCCCTCCTCCTCCTCCTCCTCCTCCTCCTCCTCCTCCTCCTCCTCCTCTTCCTCCTCCTCCTCCTCCTCTCCTCCTCCTCTCCTCCTCCTCCTCCTCCTCCTCCTCCTCCTCCTCCTCCTCCCTCCTCCTCCTCCTCCTCCTCCTCCTCCTCCTCCTCCTCCTCCTCTCCTCCTCCTCCTCCTCCTCCTCCTCCTCCTCCTCCTCCTCCTCCTCCTCCTCTCCTCCTCCTCCTCCTCCTCCTCCTCCTCCTCCTCCTCCTCCTCCTCCTCCTCCTCCGCCTCCTCCTCCTCCTCCTCCTCCTCCTCCTCCTCCTCCTCCTCCTCCTCCTCCCTCCTCCTCCTCCTCCTCCTCCTCCTCCTCCTCCTCCTCCTCCTCCTCCTCCTCCTCCTCCTCCTCCTCCTCCTCCTCCTCCTCCTCCTCCTCCTCCTCCTCCTCCTCCTCCTCCTCCTCCTCCTCCTCCTCCTCCTCCTCCTCCTCCTCCTCCTCCTCCTCCTCCTCCTCCTCCTCCTCCTCCTCCTCCTCCTCCTCCTCCTCCTCCTCCTCCTCCTCCTCCTCCTCCTCCTCCTCCTCCTCCTCCTCCTCTCTCCCTTCTCCACCTCCTCCTCCTCCTCCTCCTCCCTCCTCCTCTTGCTGCCCCGCCCCGCCCCGTGCTGCACCGGACACAAGCCCCAACCCTTTTTTTGTCCAGCGCATCTTTTGGAGAAGGGGAGGGGAAGGGAAACCGGAAGAGGACGCGGGCAGCCCATGGGCAACGACCCTCAAATCTCACCTCAATGCAGTGTCGAAATCCTCGCATAAGCGCACGCTCTGCAGCAATATGCCCAACGCGCATGCTGGAATGTGACACGCGGAGACAACCTAGCTGGGCTGCAGATTTCTACGCCCACACGGCGGCCCACCGACCCTTTTTTGGGGGGGGCACCATCGGCCACATCAGTATCAACAGAAGAAGGAGAGGCGACATGAGCATAAACTTGTGGCGCTCCGCGCGGATTTCTAGGATTCGCGCTGGACCCCCCTCCCTGGCGCGCGGAGCGCGCCAGGGGCGGCGCCGGAGGCGCCGCCGGGGGGCCCAGGCGCGGATCCAAGAAATCCGCGCGGAGCGCCAAAAGTTTATGTTTATGTGGCTTTTTGTTCTTCGAATCCTCGCCGATTCACTAGCCTCGCCTCGGCAATCCGAGATCTGACAGCAGCAAGCGGGGCGGCACAAGTAGACAACTGCTGCTTCCGCGAAGCGGCGGCACACGCACGAGAACTTCGGGGCCAGTAGCGGGGCGCCTCGGGCGCCGCACCAGTCACACGCACATCACGCTGGGGGGTGCCAGCCTCCCTTCCACTCGAACAGGGCAAGGGCCTGCATCTTGCCCGCCGAGGCCCGCCTGAGGCCGACGTGACATGCGGCTCGGAGCGAGGAGGAGGAGGAGGAGGGGCGAGGAGGAGGAGGAGGAGGAGGAAAAGGAGCAGGAGCTGGAGGAGGAGCTGGAGGAGGAGGAGGAGAAGGAGGAGGAGGGAGAGGAGAGGAGGAGGAGGAGGAGGAGGAGGAGATATCGGCTTCAACCACACTTCCTCGGTAGCAGCAAGCAAATCAATCGGAGGAGGAGAAAAGGAGGAGAAAGAGAGGAGGGGCGAGGAGGAGGAGGGGCGAGGAGGAGGAGGGAGGGAGGAGAAGGAGGGAGGAGGAGGAGGAGGAGGAGGAGGAGGAGGAGGAGGAGGAGAGGAGGAGGAGGAGGAGGAGGAGGAGGAGGAGGAGGAGAGGAGGAGGAGGGGAGGAGGAAGAGGAGGAGAAATATCGTATTCAACCACACTTCCTCAGTGGCAGCAAGCAAATCACTAGGAGGAGGAGGAGGAGGGGCGAGGATGAGGAGGAGGAGGAGGAGGGGGCCCTCTCCGCCGCCCGCCCGCCCGCCCTGCTGCGGCCAGGCGCACCTCCCTCGAGTCTCCCCCTCCCTCTTTCCCCGAAGCCTGCTGCAGGACGTCCTCGCCCGCAGCGCCCGGGTCTCCCCATCCTCCCCCCCTTCCCATCTAAGAAGAGGCCAGGGATACACAATCGATAGACGCATGTCCCTGGATTCCCCGTATTGATGTTCAATGTGTCATGGATTTCCCCCAAACGCTTCCCATTTGTTTCCACATGTTCCTAAACATCGACGTCTGCGCATGTATGCCTGTATGCATGCTTGTATATATGTATGCATGCATGTATGTATACATGAATGAATGTATGCATGCACGTATGTATGTATGTACGTAAATATGTATGTATGTATACATGGTTGCATGCATGTGTGTGTGTATGTATGTGTATATATGTATGTATGTATGTATGTATGTATGTTGTATGTATGCATGTATGGATGTTGATATATGAGAGAGCGTGATCCACCGCCGCTTTACTGTGGAAAATTGCCAACCTTTTCCTCCGGAACCCAGGGGTCTCCCCCCCCCCTCCGAAAATCCCCCCCCCCCTGCCGGACCCCCCCCCCCCCCCCCACCCCTCCCTCCCGGCAAAACCCCCCCCCTCCCCTAACCCCCCCCCCCCCCCCCCCTCCTCCCGCTCAAAACCGGGGGGGTCCTACCGTTCTCCCCTCCCCCCCCCCCCCCCCCCTCCGGATCCGGAAAACCGGGGGGGGTCACTACCGGTTCGAACCCCCCCCCCCCCTCCCCCCTACTCACCGCCAGCAAACGACTCCCGGTCCCCACCACCGTCCGCATCACATCCCCCACTGGTGTTTCCAGCACCACTGTCCTCACCACCGCTGTCCCCACTGGTTCCACCACCGCCCCTACTGTCCCCACCAGTGGCCCCACCACTGTCGCACTGTCCCCGCTGTCCCCAGCACTGTTCCCACCACGGTTCCACTCTCCCCACTGTCTCCACGGCCCCAACCACTGCCCGACTATCCCCACTGTCCCCACTGTCCCACTGACTCCTCCGCTGTCCCACTGAGCTGTCCCACTGTTCCCACCACTGTCCCCACTGCCCCCACCACTGTCCCCACTGTACCTCTGTCCCATTGTCCCACCGCCGTCCTCGCCACCGCTTTCACCACTGTCCCCACCACCATTGTACCCTCCACTGTCCCACTGTTTCCACCTCGTTCGCCATTGTCCCCACACCACTGTCCCCACCACCACCGTCACCACCACTGTCCACTGTCCCCCTCTGTTCCCACCATTGTCCCCACCACTGTCCCCACCACTACCGTCCCCACCGCTGTCCCACTGTCCCACTGTCCCCACCACTGTCCCGCTATCCCCTCACCACTGTCCCCACCATACCGTCCCCACCACTGTCCCACTGTCCCCCCACTGTCCCCACCACTGTCCCGCTGTCCCCTCACCACTGTCCCCACCAACACCGTCCCCACCACTGTCCGCACCCCCACTCGGTTTTCGAGGGGGGGGGGGGGGGGGGTGGGGGGGGGGGGGGTCGAACCGGTAGTGACCCCCCCCCCTTTTCATGATGAGCAGGGGGGGGGGGGGGGAGGGGTTCGAACCGGTAGTGACCCCCCCCGGTTTTCCGGAGGGGGGGGGGGGGGGGGGGTTCGAACCGGTAGTGACCCCCCCCGGTTTTCCGCCAGCAGCGGTAGAACACGCTCTTTCTGATATAATATATATATAATATATATAATATATATATATATATATATATGTGTGTGTGATTCGTTATGACTGTATATGAATGTATGGATGCATGCATGTAGGTATGTATGTGTGTATGTATGTACGTAAGTATGTTTGCATGTATATATGCAAGTATGTATGTATGTAGATGGTTGTATGTATGTGTGTATGTGTATGTGTGCATGTATAGATGTATGTATGTATGTATGTATGTACGTATCCCTGTATGTATGTATGCATGTGTGTATGTATGTAAGTATGTATGTATGTATGTAAACATGTATGCATGTATATATGTATGCATGCGATCATGTATGTATGAGTGCATGCATGTATGTATGCATGCGTGCATGCATGCATGTTTGTATGTATGTATGGTTGTGTGTATGTATGTATGCAAACATGCATGTATGTATGCATGCATGTGTGTATGTATGTGTATGGTAGGTGTGTAACTAGATATGAATATATATGTATGTATGCATGCATGCATGCATGTATGCATGTGTATGTATGTATGTATGTATGTATGCATGTATGTGTATACATCTACACAGAGAGGTATGTATATGTGTGTTTCTGTGTGTGTCTCTCTGTCTGCGTCTGCATCTGCGTCTGTTAAGACGGGAAGAATCTATTGACACAACGTGCTATTGATACGTTCCGGAGATTCCGGGATTTCTAACAGCCTTCGCGCGGGGTACACCTTGCGTCGAGTATTGTCTACTCTGGCTGGCGCCGCTGGTCAGTCACCCATTCGCAATCGAGTGGTCGCCCGTAAGGGGCTATTTGGCAGTTGCTGACCCCCCTTCTCGTTGCCGAGCGCGGGGGGGACGGTGGCGCACCGTCGTATTGCCCGCCGCCGCGCGCCGCTCGCCTCGGCGGATTTCCAAAGACCTGGCAAGGCAAAAAATCCTCGACCATGGAAATTTCTCCGGGGGTAAAGTTGAACAAATCTGGGGGCATTTTCGAACATGCCCGGCCTACATTTTGAAACGTACCAGATACGTTTTTGAAAACTTCCGGGAACAATTTTGAAAAATTCTGGAATCAATTTTGAAAAATTCCGGATTTCAGAATTCTCCAGATGTCCTGCGCAGCGGGCGCATTCCACCCCTCAAAATTGTTTTTTTGAAAATGTCCGGGCTCTTTTCCGAAAAATTCCGGAACCGCTCACGCGGGAAAAAACGGAAGCGTTTTCTGACGCATTCTACAATCCAGAAATCATGTCCGGGCGGTCCGACGGGCGCGGCCGGCTGGTTCACGCGCCGCGCCGCGCGCGATTGGGCGCAGCGCGCGCCGCGCGTTGCGCCCGCGAACAGCACTCGAAGGGGCTACCTCGAAAACAGCGCCACGGCAACTGCGACTCGCGGACTCCCCAAGAGTAACACAGCATGCAGCTTGGAACCTTCGAGGGAGTAACACAGCATGCAGCTTGGAACCTTCGAGGGCGCTCCGATGCGCGAAAAACGCACTGCGAACATCACGCAAAGAACCTGCGCGACGGAATGCGCTCGACCATTCGTCCCTGGAGCCGGCGCGGAAGAACAGGAAAACCTGGAAATCTAGAAAACTATCAATATCAATACTTCATGCTCCTCTGATCTGTGTCTGTGTGTTTTTGTTCCCCGCACGGCGCGACGCCCTGACAGCGTGCGGATGCTTCAGCACGCGCAGCCAAACTGAAGGGCTCGGCTGGCCACTGAGCGGGCCAGCCAGCCGGCCGACGAGTTAGCAAGTGGGGCAACTTCGTGGACCTCTCTCCTCCGCTCCTCCTTCTGGAGTCGCGTACGTCTCTTGTTCCTCCCCTTGTCCTCCTCCTCCTCCTCCTCCTCCTCCTCCTCCCTCCTAGACCGTCGTACTAGAACGACCCAGCCAGCCATCCTCCGTCTCCTCCTGCTGCTCCCCCCCCCCGATCCTCGAATCGCTTCTGTTCCGTGGTGTTAGGTCGGGCCTGTCCCCCTACAGGGGGATTTTGGACGAACAATAAACATATGCAAAACAGAATCAAAAGATACTCAAAATTACACCAAACATAATTCCCTGACTAACTTTTGACTATGTTTGAATATTCCCCCTGTAGAGGGACAGGCCCGACTTAACCGTGGTGCCTGTTTGCTCACGAGTTGCGTGTTTTTGCAAGGCTTGCCTTCTGCCCAGGAAGCGTCGGTCGCCGAGCAGGCTGCCGCCCCATCTCGAAGAACTCTGGCGATCTCTGTTGTCTGAAGGACCGCATCCCCAAAATAGTCTCGGCGGTGGACAAACCTCCCTTTAGTAAACCTCCCCTTAGTGAAAACGGCCTGGGACCGAAACCCGCGGACCTGGACCCGCAAAACTGACGGCCGCGACGCCCTCTCGCGAACCAAAAACGGCCAATTCCTTAATCGACGTGTCAGGGTAGGAGGTCTATCCACCTCCGATAGTTTCGAGCGGTCAGAAGAGTATAGAAACAATTTCGAAAGGGTACTCCGGATTCCATAACAAAGTGAGGGGGGGCACATTCGGGGGGGGGGGGTCTAATTTGAGCTGTCTTGGAGGGTTCGGGGGGGAAGGGCCGCCCTTTGATGGATAGTCTGGGGGGGTCTAAAACTTCTCGTCTGGGAGGGTTGTGACCCCTTCCCTTTTCTTACGAAATCTGGAGTATCGTCTCCCAGGGCCCGACTCGTGAAAGCCCTCAAGTTTCGGTACGTTCCTGGTGCTCGAAATTCTTTCTGGTGGCCAAGGCTCAGGTAGGTCGGGACATCGTCAGGCTACACGCACGACTGGCCCTGGGCAAGAGTAAACATTTGGTGCGCGGCTTCTTGGGGACCGCGGGGGGACCAAACACAAGCGCGCAGCACGCTACCCTATCGCATCGCGCTGGGCCCGCACCAAAAGCAAACCTGGCGAAGGGTCACTCTTACGTGCAGTCGATTGCAGGGTTTGGACGTTCCCACAGGACATCCGAGGCGGCTGGCTTGTCGCCGCTGTGGGCTTCCAGGGCGGGTCTCGGGCGTCGGCGGCCTCGGGGCCGTCAGACGAGGACCCTCGGAATGAGGCACCCAACCCCAAGGAACAGGTCCCTGCAAGGACCCACGCTTCCAAAGCGAGGCGTCGGAAAACCGGGCCCTCCTCTTCCTGCCTTTCCCTGTCCTTCGTCTTGGGAAGCAGTGCGGTGCTGTTGCGCATGCGTGTTGCTTTCGGGTCCGCTCTCTCGGGCTACATGGCCGCCGGGCCAAGATCGGAAGGAAACCAGCCCTGGGAAAGCGGTCGAACCCTCTGGGGCCAACGTGCCGAAATCAAAACGAATCCCGCCCATCTTCAATGTCTGGGGGGCCACTTTCGGGCTCCTGGGCCATCAAAACGCTGCTCGGGATGCGACGCCGGTCCTGGGGAACGGAAGCGGTCCAGACTCCCCGAAAGAACAAAATCATGTAGTCACAGTGCGTCGCGAGGAAGTCCATGGGCCTGGGGGCCACGTCCTGAAGAACGGCAACGTCAGAGGCCAGGGCGTCCTGCGCGCACAAGTCCAGCTGTACTCAGCCCGGGTGCGGGCCACGGTGCTCGAAACTGCGCCCCCACAGGCCAGCTATCATCGCGGCGATCTAAGGGATGCTCATGAAGCATCTTCGTGGTGACTGTCGTGGTCTCGCGGGCGTCCACCTGGGCCGCCTTGGCAGCTGTCCTGCAAGCAGCCCGTGGGAGGAGCTGCTGACAAACAGGGGATGATGCCGATTCCAGCATGTGACTCCCGTGCTGCACGCTGCCCGCGGACGCAACTTTCGCACTCGTGCGCACCACTGGATGGCCTTCCTCGGGGCGCGCGATCCGAAGGTGCACGCGCCGCTCCTCTAGACGCGTCCTCGTCACCGGCAAGCGCTGCGTGCGCCCGTCCGTGAACCGCCGCAGAGCTGCCCCGACGATGTGCGCCCAGCTGGTCCGCCCAAGAAGTGCTCACGAGTGCTTGTGGTCGAGCAAGGACACTTGGTTCCAGCCCGCGCACGGCTGGGTGGCCGAACTACCACCCTTGTACCTTAGCAGACACATGTTGTCCGACGTGGGCCCCCAACAGTGGATCCTTGCTCTGTCGAAGCGCCTTCTGCGTGATGCAGTACAACCCATCGGATGCAATCAATGTGGCCCGCAGTATGTGGTGAAATTTGCAAAATGCAGTCTACGCGCTTCTAGATGTGTAGCGCACCAAATGTGGTGCAAACGTGTGCGCTGTAATCGGGACGGCGAAGCGGAAACGTGCGACCATGGTCAGAAAACCTCGTCACGGAAACGCCAGGCAACGCACGAGGTGGCGAAAAGGCGGCGACGTGCGTCCACCTGGCGATACCCTGGAAACGCTAGCTAGTTACTAGGCAGTGCAAGTAAGAGTAAGATCCCTCAGTGCAAGAACTAGTTGGGGAACATGCGCCAGGTTGGGGACTGCGGATAGGAATATGCATGTCAAAGCCACCTCACATATAATGTCGACAAATGGCTCCTTAGTGCATATGAGATGCCAGAAGGGCACTGCATGCGGTAGCCATACTGTCACCTGTCACATGGTATGCCGCAAGTGTAAGCTGTTAGTGGACGATCGAACAACACACCACAGAGAATCCCCACTGCACTTCGTGCAACATGAATAGACAAACCAAAGCACCAACCACTTTGGGCTTGCATCCTTGAACGACTACTGCACCCATCGGTGCTAACCTTTGCACCACCACCACCACCATAACGCCCACGCTAACCACCAACGCCTAACATCATCAACACCGTCCGTAAAATCAGCACACAACCTAATAAAGCTGAGTGCCACGGCGTACTGACGTCAATCTCATGAGTGGATTGTGAGTGCCGCCGCAAGGGCCGCACCAGCAGCTAGAGCAACTACCACTTACTATACAAGTCGATGAAAACGAAAACACCTTTTCCTGTGGAAGCGTTGTCCCCGCTCCTGTTACACACACCGGCTGGAGTATGATAGCAACCAATGCCGCAACAAAAGCGCTCCTTGCTCATCTTCTCCTCCCCCTCCTCCCTTGTTCAATCGTTACCCTGTCCTCTCTCGTCTGCCACACACTGACTGTCGCCTTGCAAATCCCGCTCGTTTCGGTTTGGCGTCGCGGACACGAAGATGTGGTATGGGCTCACGGAGCTTCAAGCAACTGATCATTTCCCGAGATGGGGGGACAGTCGTGTTGGCGCAAAGTGCGTAACTCGCCGTGACCAGGCGAATGGGGGATGGGCACCTCGCTGTGGCTGCCTTGCGGCAGCTCACACAGCGATCGACCTAGTGGCTCGCCGGCCGCGAGCTGCCCGAGCCAATACAGGCGGGCACAGTTCGGGTCGTTTCGTTCCTATGTCACTTCTCTACCACCTACTCAGCACCACCACAGGAGAAGACACGCAGGAGCAGGGCGAGTATGACGAGCTGCAGGCAAGATGAGCCAGGCGCTGGCTTGAAGTAAGGGAAGAGCTCCGGATGGTGAGGGATGGCGTGGGGCTGGGCGGGGATCCTCAGCTCTGCGATCTGCGCCTCCGCCCAGTCGCGCTGCTCCGCCATACGAGTCTGCATAGCGATTCTCTTTTGTCGAGCTCCCCTGCATGCGCGCACGCCTCAAGCGGCATCCACGTCTCCCCGAGAGCTCGAGGTCGCGTCGGCGGCGCAGCCTTCGCCGTGGCTAAAGGCGCTACGATGAGAAGCACCACTGAGACAACGTAGTACCTCTTCGGATCAACTCGGCGAGATGCACCTGAGCTGGCATTCCGACCTCCCGAATACACACACAACAGCGGCCTTAGCTATAGCAAGCACGACCTACTCGACTGTAACGTCAGCGGGTGATCCCCAACCAAACAGCTCACTCGTGCACCACGTTTGGGGCCCTCCGTATGTGGAAGAGTGTGTGTGGAACCGTGGGTGCTTGACACATGACCATGCGTGTCTGAGGCCGTATGCTGGTCCGTTGGCCACCTCATCACTCCCGCTGGCTGCCCGTACAGGCTTGTGCCCTGGTGCACGCGCGCAAGAACTTCATGCTCTGAGCGTGCTCCGCGGCGTCCTCTCCCCACTCCGCGCCTCCACCGCTCCTGATGTGCCTAAGTCTGCCCCGAAACGTCCCTCGGCTGCCACGACCGTGTCTTGGCTCCAAGTCACCGCGACACAGAGCCTGAAGTCGTACGCGTGGGGGGGCCCATCAGTGCTTGAGGGGACCTGTTTTGTTGTCCGCTGTACGCGAAGCCAATATTAGCACCGCTGGCCGAACGCTGGCGAGGGCGGCCACCGCCGCCGTCGCCCCTTGTCACTCGGTGCCGTACCATGAGGCCAACATCCCGGTGAGACATCGGCCAAGGACCTCACATGGGCCGCAGCCAACGCAACGCCCTATACCACTTCCAATGCCAGCGTCCAGACCTCCAAAGAACGCAACGGCCCGATCCCATTATGCTGGGCAGCTCCTCGAAGAACGAGGAAGAGCCCCTCCGTGCAAGAACAGGTTGGGATCGAACTTGCCAAGACAAGGAGCGGATCCTCCGACCAGGAGACCACCTTGCTTGCGCGACTGCCGAAACAAACGCCAATGGCGTCAGGACGTCTTTACCGCTCCCGCGCACACCTCAAAAGATCCATGCCATCCACGCGAGGAATGCGGCACGCCTCCCCGTGCCCATGGCTCAGGAGCACATCCCGTGCTCGGCCATGGCCTGTCCAACCTCGGGAGGGCATCACCCACCCCATGGCCCCGCTGTGTGCCGCGCTCGCCGCGAGTGGGGAAGCGTGGACGAAAGAGGCCGATTATCAGGAGGGAAAGAAACACACAGACACAATGAATCGTCGATTCCCCAGAAAATATATGAACATATGGGAAGTGGGGGGGAAGACAAAAAAAACCCAGAACATATGGGAACATATGGGGAATCCGTTTATTTGTGTGTATTTATGTGTGTGTGTGTGTCCCAGGGCCCCTTGAGACGAGGAGCCAGCCGCGGAGCGGCCGGGTGCCGAGCCCCCCGCCGCCTCCGCGTGGAGTGGCAGGGAGTGCGTCCCTCGGCCGCGGGAGTTTTTCGGAGCACAGGGCTTCGGCTTTTTTGGGGGCCAGATCCCAGACGTCATTTCTGACTACCTACCAGACCACCCCAACCCAACCCGAAGACCCGAATTTCGGGTTGGGGGTGTGTGGGTTCCATATGTGATATGTGTTTTTTCGATGTTCCCCGACCCCCCCCCACTGGAAATTGAGGGCAAATTGAGGCCTTCGGGTTGGGTTGGGGTGGTTTGGTGGGTTGTGAATTTCGAGCACCCAGACATGCATCGCAACGGTGTCGAGCGAGCGTCGCCTCCCAGGGCCCGACGCGCGAACACCCTCCAGGCTCGATCCCTCCCTGGTGCTCGACGGTCTTCCAGGCGATCGGGGCCAAAGCAGGCTGGAACATCCTAGCCCAGGGCAAGTGTTGGCCCCAGGGCCTGGTGGAGCAGGGACCGACCGTCCCGGCATTCCCATAGCCCTACCACGAAATGTTCTTAGAACCCAGACATGTTCTACGAACAAAGACAATGCTCCCAGAGCATAAACCCGATGTGTTAAAACAAGACGCTCCTGGCCAGAAATGCTCCAAGAACATCTCGTGGGAACCACAAACCGGTTCTTAGAGCACTGCTTGGCAGGGCTGTGGGCGAGCCAGGGCTCTTCGCCAATGCCCGACCTGGCTCCCCGCGGCCTCTCTCCGGCCTCTGCGTGCGGGCTGCACGTCCACGCCATCCACGCCCTCGCAACGCGTGCACCCCTCGGCCGTGCCCCCCCCCCCCCCCCCCCGCGGGTGCCGGGCGGCGGTGCGCAGGTGCCCCGCGCGAGACGCCTCCGTTGGGGTCTCGTGCCTCTGCGATCGGACCTCGGCCTCCAGGCCAACGGGGGCATGGACACGAACAAGCTCGAGGCTCGAGAGGCGTGCCTCGTGGTGGGAACAAGGAGAGGCGACACCAAGATCAGCAGGGCGAGGAGGTGCGAGCAGGCAAGGGGAGTCTCCCTGGTGGTGTGGTCCCCCCCTTTCGCTCAAGACATCCCCAGCATCCAGCTCGGGGAGGCATCGTGAGCCTCCTCGCTGGAGGTGGGCCCCCTGGTGGTGTTGGTATCGCTTCGCCTCCCTCCGACGTGACGTCCCCTGGACAAATGAATCCCAGCGAGACTGATTGGTGAACTAAGTCCGTAATCGTCGCAGCCGCCTCGGCTTCCAGAGCAACGGCTCGGATATGACGGTAGGTCAAACACAAGCTGGAGGTTCTCTCTTGTCATAGCTTCCGCGCTTGACCGGGCCTCCTACTCGGCTGGTCTCACGACTCTGACTGCGGCCACTCTAACCTGAGTGTACCGACCAAGCAAGGGAGCCATTGATCTTGGTGAAACCTTCAGGTACCGATACCGCTACTCCCCAGACCTCTCCTGGAGTGCGTTCTGACGAGGATTTCGAGGCGAATGCAGCGGTGACGACGAGGGCCGCCCAGGACGCCATAAAAGGGGAAAGCGAGGGAAGGGTAGCAGTATGGGTACCTTTTCCTCTCCTGACGACCAGGCAGGGAAGCCACTGCTCAACGATAGCCGCGGGACGTCGTCTGTCAGCCCGCTTCGGGGAGGACCTGGCCCTTCCCCCCGAGGGCGACGTACCCCCAATGGGTTACCGCAGGTGCCACGGCTCCAGCTGAGCCGTGCCTCTGGGAGTCCAGGGGTGGCCCTGGCTGCCCCCTCTCCAAGGTACAGTCGGGGTCTTGACCTAAGGAACTCAAAATAAGGAGCGAGGCCCCTTTTTTCCATGAGTTAAACTTCGATATCTGATCGAAAACATGAGGAAAACGTGAGGCAAGCTGCGAAGCACTTAAGGAACGCGGAGCCCCCCCCCCCAACGAATAGGGTTCCTTCTTCAGGGCGCCGACTGTACGTCTGCTCTCAGGGCACGCGCAGAAGAAAGAGGTCGGAGAAGAAACGGCACTACCTCGCAACAAGATGCGCCTCGCAGGTGCCGGTCCTCCGCACCAGCAAAAGATACACGGCCTAGGGGTCAACCGTACGAAGCGTTGCGATACTCTCTTGCGTGAGAACATGACAGAGATACACAACAACCCGAAGCGAGTTGGTGCACCGCTGGTGCGGCGATCGCCTCGCCTTTGTCTCCACAACGGCAGCAAGCGAAATCTGAGTCAAAGCAACACAGTCAGCGAGATGGCCTAAACAGCATGATGGTCGATCTCTGAGACATGGGATAAAAGGCGAGCGACTGCCTGGAAGAAGTTGAGCTCTTGCTTAGAGACGTCATACCTCGGGCAGCCCCAAATTGCACTGCTGAAGAAGAGCGCGAACACACATGCACACAATTGGGCTTGGACGACCTTGGGGGATAATCAGACACAAGCACACGTGCGCCCCACTGCGAGACGAAAGACAGGCAGCAGAGTTGCACACACAGCCCAGGAACCAGTGCACTTCAAAATCACAAGACAGCTCGCCGCTTGGGCCCCCACCGCCACCCAAACGGCGAGCACGAACCGAGCGCAGCCTTAGGTCTGGCATGTCCCCCTGCAGGCGGAGTTTCACAAGCGGAGTCTGGACGAACCATGAAACATATGCGACAAACTATTCACAAAAGTAGTCAACAAATAATAGAGAAGTCGTCCCCAAATTATCCCAGTGCGACCCTACCTAGGAGTTGGAGCATTTAGGAAAGCAACATCTACATCTACACCGACAGCTACATTTACATCTACACCTGCATCTACATCTACATCAACATCAACAGCGATACTCGCATCTACATCTACATCTACACCTACATCTACACCTACACCAACATCTACATCTACATCTACATCCACATCTACACCTACACCTACATTTACATCTACAGTTTCGCATTGGTTTAGCTACATCTACACCTACGTCTACATCTACACTGTCGCGCTGGTTTTGCTAAGCTAAGCTAAGCTAGGCTAGGCTAAGCTAAGCGAAGCTAAGCCAAGCTAAGCTAAGCTAATATCATATAAGCTAAGCTAAGCTAAGCTAGGCTAGGCAACGCTAAGCTAAGCTAAGCTCAGCTAAAATGAGATCAGCTAAGCTAAGCTAAGCTAAGCTAAGCTAAGCGTAGCTAAGCTTAGCTAAGCTGGGTGAACCCAGGGGGCGCAACTGGGGGAACCGCGGGGCGGATGCCGGGGGAACCGCCCGGGGCGGGTTCCACTGCCCGGCCCTTTCAGCTCACCGAGTACGAACCCTTCTAGGCAGAGCCTAGGTAGGGAACTATCTTATACTACTTGTGAGTATTCCTCCTGTAGAGGGACAGGCCTGACTTAAGCGTAGCCTGGTAGAAACTACCAGGGGGCTGTGCATGAGGCCGCCCAGAAGAGTCGCATCCAGACTTTGTATCCGATCGGTATGGCGGCCCTCATGGGAGGGCCACGTCGGACCCGAGACCTAAACCCTACGCAATACCGCCCCTGGCACCAGTGCGAGCACCGCCAACAGTGGCCCCATTCGCAGAACCGACGGCGCCGCTGGCATCGACGCCGCCGCAGTGCGTCGCGAGCCCCATTGCCATGTCGTTTCCTGAAGCGCCTGCTCCGCGATGCAGCCCACGGCGCCAAAGGGAAGGCGAGCTGCCCCCCGACAGGGGGCGCCCCCCTGCCCTGTATAGCCTCAGCCTGTGCCCGAGCCCAGCCAGCGGGGCGCGGCACGTCTCCTCCTCCTCCCTCCCGTGTCCTCCTGCAGGCGTGGTGAGTGGAGCGGACACCGGTGCTTCACGGGGGGGGTCCGTTCCCCCGAGGTCGCCGCGCAGGACAGCGACACCGCGCAGCCCACCTCGAACAGACCACACCACCACACGACGCACCTAACAACCCCAACCGGTCACGGCATCCAATGTTGCGCCCGCCCCGGGGCCGGATATGCCTCCTCCCCCATCCCCGGCCTGGCAGGACCAATGGCCCCGGAGCCGAAACTGTTTTGGCCAACTAGGAGACCAAACTTGAAGACAAGTCGATACCGTTTTGACTTAGTGCTCGTCCATTCTTTTTTTTTGTTTTTTTTTTTTTGCTCGTCCATTCTGCGTATCAAAGGGAGTCGGCGCGAGAATTGGTCGACGGATTGGGGCGGGGTCCCCAAGACGACGTGGGGACTGGCCGAATTGCGCCCGAGGCACCCCAGCCAGCTGTGCATCGGCGACGTCGGCGTGGGGAAGCACGGGCTCCACATCGAGCCGCATCGTCGATGCATCGGCGATGCGGCGCGATCCTCCGACCCCATCTGCTCGGACCCCATCCAGGAGGCCTAGACACTGATACTGATTATGATGCCGCCTTCCCGTGGCTTCGCGCACCCGTCGGCCATGGCGCCAGAAGCCGCACCTGGCCCCCCTCCGCCTGGCCAGGCCGCCCCCCCCCCCCTGTCCCTCCCGCCGCCCATCCCCGCTCTGGCCCGCGCGGCGCGGTGGCGGGCCTGGGCCGCATGACGATTGTCCGACCCAGCGACGGTGATGGCACCCGGCTGGGCCTCTGAGGCATGCAGACATATTGTGAGAAGAGGCCGCGGGACGTTTCACTGCCCGCGGGCCACGCTTCCAGCGACGGATGCGATTGAAGCTCGCTGACAGTGCGTTGAATTAGTCGCCGCAGTACCAAACATTCTCCACATTTAACACAGCCGGATCTCAAAAGTGGGAGCGGCTTCGGTTCTGGGCGGCATCGGAAGCAGTAGGTGGGTGTGCCACCCGTGTGGCGCGCCATGGGTGGCGCAATCCATGGCTTGCGCCTTGGGTTGCGTCGTCCATGGGTTGCGCCATCGGTTGCGCATAATCACAAGGTCAACCGACGCGCGCACCGCGATTGGTTGCGCATCGGGGGCGTCCAAGAGGGGGGCGTCCAAGAGGGAGGGCGCAAACCATGGCCGGCGGCATGTGCGCGGCCCCGGGGGGGGGGGCGGGCACCTGCTGACGCGAGAAGAGGCGCCGTGGAACCTGGGGAGACGTCGTGGCCCCCGCCATGGTACATCCCCCCCCGCCCTGGTCATCACCCGGCCGCCAGGAACACGAGCGGCCTGCCCGCGACTGCGCCACGAGCTGCGCTCGCGGCCGACGGGGGCCAACAGAGGCAGGCCCCCGTGGCTGCGCCCCGCGCTCGGCCGCCGGGAGCGGGACGGCACGCCATGTTGTTGCGCCCTGAGCTCGACCACAAGGAACCTGCCCCGAGAAGCCCAACCCTGGGGCCCCAGGCGTCCCTTGGTTTTCACTGGGGGGTGTCGCGCTCTCCATCGCAGGACACCATCGACTTCGCAGCGACCCGGGGCACCCTGGAGGCGAACATGGTGTCTCTTGGCATGGGTTTCCACTGTGGGCTGCGCACTCGGCCGCCGAGAAAAACTGCCTCTTGCTTGGCTGCGCCATGCACTGTGCGGTCAAGGGCCCTGCAATCCTTAGAAGGCAACTGCTGAGAGGTCTTCGTCGGAGAGATGAAAGAGAATTGAACTAAGCCCCATTGGGGGGCTACTACGCCGGATTCGGCCGCGGATGCAGCGGGATGAAGCCGGATGAAGCCCGATTGAGTGGAAGAAAACCAGGACAAGATCAGAAGTTGACCTCCCCAAAAACGCACCCGAATAATCCACCCGCGTAGCTGCTTAGAAGGAGAAAATGCGCAATAAACATAAACTTGTGTCGCTCCGAGCAAAATTCTTGGATCTGCGCTAGGTCCCCCTCCCTGGCGCGCGGAGCGCCAGAGGCGCCGCCGGGGGGGCCCAGCGCGGTGCGGGCAATATCTATATCCGTATCCAGTGCGTCTTGGACTTTCTTGGAAGGGGCGCCGCAAGGCCGAGGCGCACTGGATATAAATAAAAAATTGAGCCTTTTGGAGGCAGATTATAATCAATATCCAGTGCGCCTCATGTTTCTTGGGAAGAGAGTCCGAAACTCCATGACGCACTGGATGTGGATAAAGACATTGCCCGCACGCGGATCCAAGAAATCCGCACGGAGTGCAAAGAGACTGCTGCAGGCGTGTCGGCGATCCATATTATCGATGCGCTCAGATCTCACTGTGATCGGCCCTGCTGCCTCGCGGTCCTGTGGCGCCGCAGGGCTTCCCTCCCCGAGGATCGACGCCCGAACTTCGAGGATGCCTTTTCTCTTTCGCCCCTCGAGGAGCGAACGTCGAGGAGGTTCCAGGAGCGAGGATCGGAATTCGAGGATCGTCTTCGGAGGCCTCTGCAGACCTCCGGGGGCGCACAGAGACCTCCGAGGACCTCTGGGGACCTCCGCAAGCGCCCCGACACGGGAGGCGGATGTATGGCCTCCTTCGCGGCCTCCTTGCCTCGTCGGGGCGAACGTGGACAACTGGGGCGTCCGTGCACATCGGGCAGGGCAGATGAGAACTCTGGGGATGCGACATCAAGGACGCAAGTTTACGGGCCCATGCTACACCAAAACACAGACGTTGGATGCCCCATGTTGCGCAAGAGCCGTACCAACTATTCCTTCAACCTGGACGCATCTTCCTTGAGAATCGCAGCTTCGAACAGTGGACGATAGACGCGCAATGTCATAACGCTGCATCTGATATCTCCTCTGCAGGAACGGGCGGGGCGTGATGATGGCGACGGCGACGAAGAACATTCAGAAATGGCCAGGAGGGCAGAACGAGGAGGAAAAAGAAGAGGCAGGGGGGACGGGCGACCCCCGCAGGATGGGCAGGAGAGTTTGGACACGGCGCAACCCATTTCCTGCTTCCCGCCGGGAGTCCCGCTGCTCACCTCCTGGGCCATTGCATCGAGCTCATCGCACAAGAGTCATGATCTGGGCATCGCTCGGACGTCCCTTCCTTGTGTTTTTGTTCGGTTTCGTGCGTGGCTTTTTCGCCAAATGATCAAGGATGCTCCTCGATGGTCCCCGCCGAAGGAAATATGCACACGTCCGAGCGATGTCAAGTGATATCAGCAGAATCGACAGAGCGCCTCCCATCAGACAGGATGGGACAAAAAACCTCCCGCAGGCATCCGAGCCTAGACATATCAGCCGATCCCCGCGCGGGGCCTCCTGGCTGTAAGCTTTTTCCCAGGTCGCTCGCGGCCTCGAGCGCAGAGCGAGGGCCGGAACAGAGGTCGGGAGCGGCCAAGAGGGGGGTGTCCAAGAGGGGGGGGGGGGGGGGAGGGCGCAAATCATGACCAGCGGCATGTGCGCGGCCCAGAGGGGGGGCCAGGGACGTAATGAAACAAGAAGAGGCGCCATGACATCTGGAGAAATATCATGGCCCACGCCATGATATCCACACCCCCTAGTCATC